AGCATCTTTTATTCCCCTCCGATCAATCTCTTGAGTGAAACGAGCTAATGCAAAAAGCTTATTCAGATTTTCTCCGTTTGATCTCTCATTCTTAAGTGGCAAACATACTTTTATTGATCGAATATTTTCTTTAGAAATAGACAGTTTTTCGAGNGCATTGGTGTTACCTGGCTTAACACCACTCCTATACTTTTGAGGGTTCATGGTGTAGTATATCACTGCAAGTTTCAGTTAAGTTCAGTTCTTGGTTTCTGTGACCGAACACCGCTCACTAGGACAACTGCTTCTATCCCTACTGCTGTTCACCAGATTCATTTAATAAAACTGTTCTGGCACCAGTGAATGTCTATGTCACTATGCCGCAGAAGGCTGCATACAGTCTCAACTGGCACCATCCATTAGACGTCAGCTTCTCGGTCAATATGATTAAATCCAAAAGCTCGCAGTCCAGACTCTAATCGGACGTAATCTTCAGACGTACCATTTTCATTGATCTCCCACAATCCGAGGTTAGCAGAACCGCCTCATATAAGTCTCCTCATCGACATGTCACATTTGTACACAATCGCAACGTCCATACGGAAGAATCTTGCGATGGTCGTAAATCTACGTGACCGCACAGAGAATAAACAGCAGTCGTTATGAAAAATTTCAGCATCTCACCCGTTTTTTGGATGTTCGTTGCCAAGCGAAATATTACAAGCCACATAGCTGTCTGTCCGAGAATATCTTCGAATGTCAACCTGCATGACTGAGAAATGGAACAATTGTCATTCACATCTGGTCGGCGTCACACACTGTAAATGTGACCGAAAAACACCCGCCTCATGCAGTGTACAATCTGGATGGTGCATGTTGATAGGATTCCATATTCTTATCCCAATCAGGACACCTAACAGTTTCGCTGATTACTTTTCGGTATACATTTATGGTTTTTACTTTCTTTTGCTGACTTTTTAGCAAGCAACCCATAAATCGGTTGTCATAACGTAAAACCTCATGGGCGATGTGAAGGAAACCTATGCCGATTGACCACCGTCATCCACAATGCAGTTGGCGTGAGTTTTCTTTCCGTAGTCTATGTTTACCAAACCCAATGTCAAAACAACACATTTAGGCTGTACCTACAAGCGTCCTTCGAATTCNCTAATAGGCGAAAGGAACATTCCTTCTAGATTTATTGTTCAAACTCTCCCACAACATTAGCTCAGATAATCAGAAGAGAGCTTTGTGATTCGGAAGGAGAAATGACCAACAATGTCTTGATTGATATCAAGTTTACAATGGGAACAGACGACAGCAGCAACTTGGCTTAACAGCCGACCGGTATAAGGCCACATTTCGAGCAAACTGAGGTACTTGAACCAAGGAAGAAATACTAAAGTGGATTAGTGGATAGCGGCGGTCGAATTTCAACAGTAAATGAACTCCGAACTATTGCATTCCTGCCATTCATCCTGTTGCTGTGTAGTAGATCATAGCCGACTCTGAGTGAGAAAATAGCCTTGATCAAAAGGGAATACACACAGAGACGACCGATGAACAGATGGAAGACACGGAAATATGCGTCATTGTAGAACAAGCTAGGGAACGTATTTTTCATCCAGTTTGCTTGTGATGCGTTGCTAATCATACTACCACCAATCAGCCATGTCGATGATTAGAAATGGTACTTTAACTGTGACATAATTTAGTACCACTTTATGGTCCAGAATCCAAGGAAGAACTACGATGGCGCACACAACTGGACAACGTAGTCAAAAGTAGTGTACGCGTTGACCCCAGCGAGAGGCCACATTGAGAAAATGTGGATGTAACTGTAGCGAATAGATCTAGCTACTCCATTACCAGAAGTTAAAACCGTGTCTGTTTTCATAACCAGAGTAACCAGGTGGCCATGACCGCCAAACAAATGAAGGAGTGTGTATTTGACAGTTCAACCGATTTGCAGATCTGTCAC